TTCCAATGAATAACCAGAGTTCATAAATCCAATATTTGAAGCTTTCTTCAATTCTTTTTTTTTTTTTTTGAGTTGGAGTCTCACTCTGTCGCCCAGACTGGAGTGCAGTGGCCACTTCCGGCCACTGCAGCCTCCACCTGCTGAGTTCCGGCGATCCTTCCACCTCAGCCTTCCTAGTAGCCGGAATTACAGGTACACGCTACCATGCCCAGCTGATTTTTTTATTTATTGTAGAGATGAGGTCTCGCCAAGTTGCCCAGGCAGGTCTTGAACCCGCGGGCTCAGGCAATCCACCCACCTCAGCCTCCCAAAGTGCAGGATTACAGGCTGAGTCACCAAGCCCGGCTGGCTCTCTTCAATTCTGACCACTTGAATTCTCTAGTTAGAAGAGATCCAAGCTTTAACTTTTCTCTTCTCTTTTCTCCTCTTTTCCCAAGGTGAAACAAAGACTTTGAGACAGACCATTCGTAAAGAAGACTTTGACACTGCATCCACACATTATTGAGCTAGGTGCAGGGAGCCAAGAGCCATAGCTCAGAAGGGCCCTGGGAAAGCCTGTTATCTGATTCTGCTGTAAACACTGAGAGGGAAAGTCAGTAAGGAACCAATATGAGGCACAAAGGAAAGATGGAGGTTGACTTTTAAGTATGACATAACACTCAAGACTGATAGCACTACATGGCATTATGGTAGATAACTAGGACTGTATGACCAAACTGTTGGACTTAAAAATGTCCAGTCCAGGTCGGGCGTGGTGACTCAACCTGTACTCTCAGTACTTTGGGAGGCCGAGGTGAGAGCACTGCCTGAGTCTGGGGTTTCGAGACCAGCCTGTGCAACTTGGTGAGACCTCGTCTCTGCAATAAATCATACACACACACACAAAACTAGCCGGGCGTGGTGGCGTGCATCTGTAGTTCCAGCTACTAGAAATGCTGAGGTGGAAGGATCACCTGAGCCCAGCAGGTCGAGGCTGCAGTGGCCGGGAGTGTGCCGCTGCACTCCAGCCTGGGCAACAAGAGTGACACTCCAACTCAAAAAAAGACCAAAAAAATGGCCAGTCCAATGCTGCTTGAGCTTTGATTATATAAGTTTTATAAACTCCTTTACAGATGATACAAAAATAATCACTAAAATTGCCCCAAACTATTATGTAATGAAAAGGAGTTATTCTGTGGTCTGCATATAGACACAGCTTATGTTTTCCGCTGTCTTAATTTTGTTGTGACTATTAGTGATCACTGTAGAGGAAATGAAACCATTCCCAGACACATGAGGTATTGCTGAAGCCAGAGTATACTTAGAGTAAAATAAACTGACCACATCTTCCTGAATAACGTGAAAAGCTCTAAGTCATACACTGAAGTAGGAAGAGTTCTTATTTTATTTTCCTCTTTTGCAGAAAAGTCAGAATGACTTAGTTTACATTCTCATACATTTTTTTTCCCTTTTCTTTTTTTCTCTACAATAAATAAAAAAATCAGCTGGGCATGGTAGCGTGTACCTGTAATTCCGGCTACTAGGAAGGCTGAGGTGGAAGGATCACCGGAGCCCAGCAGGTCGAGGCTGCGGTGGCTGGGAGCGGCCACTGCACTCCAGTCTGGGCGACAGAGTGAGACTCCAGCTCAAACAAAACAAAGCAAAACAGAGTAATAGAATTTCACGCCTATAATCCCAGCACTTTGGGAGACTGAGGTGAGAGGATTGCCTGAGCCCGCAGATTCGAGACCAGCCTGGGCAACTTGGTGAGACCTTATCTCTACAATAAATATAAAAAATAATTAGCTGGGCCTGGTTGGCATATACCTGTAGTTCCAGCTACGCAGAAGGTGGAGGTGGGAGGATTGCCTGAGCCCCGCAGGTCGAGGCTGTGATGGCCATAAATGTGCCACTGCACTCCAGCCAGGGTGACAGAGTGAGACTCCAACTCAAAAAAAAAGAGCAATAGGACTTCAACATAAAGTCTGGGGGCACAATTCTACCATAACCTAGTCATTAGGAAGATTGGAAAACAAGCAGAGCACCCAACCTCACTGGTGCTCAGTGCCAGTGTCAGGCCTTGCTCTAAGCCTTTTGTCCTCATAACGGCTCTGTGCAGTGGGTACCCTCAGCGTCTGCTTCTGCTTACATCCAGGAAACTGCGGCCAGGGAGATCAGCTAACTGGCCAGTGTCACACATGCCACATGGGAGGCCAGGACAGTAACCCAAGTACAGACAGTCCCTACTCATGGTTCCACTCACGATTTTCCGACTTTATGGTGTTTCCCGGCACCCAGTGTGTGCCTCACTGTCGGCGTGGTATCCAGCAAGTGAGTGGCTCTCAGCACTTTGTTATGAGAGGCTTTGTGTTGGTGTCTTGCCCCCATAGGCTGACGTAGGTGCTGTGAGCATGCCAAGCCAGGCAAGGCTGTACCATGTCGCTCGGGAGGGCAGGTGTGTTCATGCACTTCTGACTTATGGAGTTTTGTGGGGATGTGGCCCCATCAGAAGTTGGCGCACCTGGAGTCTCGTTTTAGAGATCACCGTCCCTACTGCTCTCTGACGACCTGTCATGTGGGCATGTGTCCTTTGCCTTCACCTAATTTTCCCTTTCGTCAGTTGCGGGGAGACACTCATAACCTCCAAGTTGCCATTTGAGCCAGTCTCATGTGCAGTTCAGTGGCATCATGTGGCACTTGCATATTCACTTGCAGCCGTCACCACCCTCCACCTCTGGAGCCACTTCATCTTCCCAGATGCTCCCCATTAAATGCAACCTCGACCCCCAGCTCCCGTCACCTGCTTTGCTGTCTTTGCCATCTTTGAATGCATGAGTATGCGTATTCCATTTATTTTTACTTTTTATTTTTTTATTTTCTGAGTTGGAGTCTCACTCTGTCGCCCAGACTGGAGTGCAGTGGCCGCTTCCGGCC